GCTGTCTCCCTTCACCCACGTTTCTGCTGTTCACCCCCGGGGTGGGGGTAGAGGTTATGCATTGATCATTGTAATCGGTTCCCCCTTTTTCCCCTCCTCCCACCTTCCCCCTACCCTCCTGGTATCACTACTCCCATTTCTGTTCCTGAGGGGTTTATCTGCCGTGTGTCACATCTGTACTTGTGCACATGCCAGAACTGAAAGGCAGGACTGGGGTCATGATGGTGGGGGGTGAGGAAGCCTCAAAGAACCAGAGGAATATTGTTTCATCAGTGCTATACTAAGCCCTGGTTGACTCATCCCTACCTTGTGACCCTTCTCTGAGGGGATGTCCTATTGTCTACAGATGGGTTTGGGTCTCTGCTCTCACCGCCCACCCCCCTCCTTCTCAACAATATTTTTGTTTTTTTGTTTTGGGTCTTCTGGTGCCTGTTACCTGATTCCGTTGCATGAAACCTCATGATTGCACAGGCTGGTGTGCTTCTTCCATGTGGGCTTATTGCTTCTCTGCTAGATGGCCACTTGTTTAACTTTAAGCCTTTTAAAGACCCCAAACACTATATCTTTTGATAGCCCAATACCATCAGCTTTCTTCACCACATTTGCATACGCACCCATTTTATCTTCAGTGGTCATGTAGGGAGGGTGAGCATCACAGAATGCCAGGTTGTTAGAACAAAGTGCACGTGTGTTGAGGGAGGGCTTGAACAGAGGCCCAAAGTCCATCCACTTCCTCAATGTATTGCCATATAAATATATATACGTAGGCCAATACCTCTATTTTTATGAATTAATATATTTACGAGTGCACACCTATGTTTATTCCTTTATCCATAGCTTTGCTTCCTAGATCTTTCCTGTTTCCTTTTACCTTCCTCCTGCCCCACCATCATGCTTGCCCTTGTTCTGCCTCTTAGTAATTTCTCTCAGCTAGACTGCTGTTGCTCCAATATCACCAGGATCTCTATGTTCTCCTCGTTGTTGCTTTCATTTCCCTAGTTGTTCCCGTCAGTG